CTTTCATCATATGTGATATGCGCAGTATTGAATTAATATAGTTATCATAATCCTTATTTCTCATCTGAAATAGCGACATTTTCGTGGGAGTACAAGAGATCCAGTTGATTGGGCATTTCACTGCACGAATTCCACACAATGACGGATTCTTTGTTACCACAGATCATTCGAGTAGGAACAGTTGTTGTTTTCTGGTGCTTGAAAAAGAGAACACAAATCTACATATGAACTACAATCCGGCACACTGCAAATTACTCTCGAGGTTTCCGAGACTGAGAGCCAGCGATGGTCACTGAACACCAGCCATATCGGAAATAGAGACAAGCATAACAGTTGAAGATCTTGACAATAACACAGTCAGGGTGGGAAGGATATGAATGTGGACAATAACAGCCAACACATCACTGGACACTGATTTAATAATCTCACAGGTGACTAGTAAGTTTCTGTATTGACCCTCCGTAGAGTGAGTGAGTGGGTGATTGAGTGCGAGTGACCACGTAGAGTGAGTGTGTGCGTGAGTGCGTAAATGTGTCAGTAAGTGAGTGAGTGAGTGTGTGTGTCAGTCACTGACCGGGTAAAAGATTAGACAAGAATAAAATTGACATGGTATATCTTAAAAGTTACCCTTGAGCAATAGGACACAACTGTAGAATGGCAAACAAACGAAACGATGTAATTTAAACTGTGTACACGTCAGTGAGATGAATGAAAGTGTTGTGACTCTCAAGTCAAGGTCCACGTACTTTGTGTCATCAGTTTCGACTTGGATACAGTCCTACATCTTCATGTCAAACACCGGAGGTACCCACGCGGTTGAAGGAATGACTCGAAATTCATACCTTTCAAGCAAACGATCAATTGTCAAGATAGTTACCTAATCATTTTAAGAAGTGAAATCTCAATCGATGTATAATATTTACTCTCATCTGCAGACTTGTAACAACTAATACCATACAGCCACACCGTGTGAGGAGTAAACTATGTAATCTAGGTGTTAATAAAAACATTATCAGATGGGTTAAAGAATTCAGGGTACATAGAACTCAGTATGTCAGTGCCAATGGCTATCAATCTTCTTTTCTCTCAACCTCTACTGGAGATCCACATGGCTGTGTTCCTTCATCCGTACTCTTCGTTTTGTATACCAATGACTGTTACTTGTCAATATATGACTTGTTTACTGTGAAATTTGCAGATGACGCCACTGTTACTGGCCTAATTTCTGATTCTGAACATTATTATCGTCAAGGCATTGACAAAACCGTAATGACAGTTTTTTATCAAACCTTTATTCAAAGTGTGTTGACCTACAATTTTCTATGTTGGTATGGGGATCTGTCTCATCTTAACAAAAACAGACTTTTCAAAATTGTTAATGCTGCTTGCAAAATTTCTGGAGTGTATTTCGAGTATAGTCAAAAAGACAGCTAAAATTAGATTTGATAATTGACATATTTGATCTCACCATTTTGAACTACTTCCTTCTGGACGCTGCTGTCGATTACCTTCCCTCAAAACAGAGCTCGACAGTCTTTCATACCATCAAGTATTCGTGAATGCAACAAATATTTTGAATCACCATCATGTGATTAGAACTAGAATTATTCAGCCTCTTTACCTATGTGGTTAATTGAATTATATCATGTCAGTTTTATTTGTAAATAGCATTCGTTTTGAGCATGTAATTATTGTGTATATTTTTGTGAACTGTGTATATATTTATTTTGAGACAGTTTGGATGTATGAGAATTTCCTCCGGGATAATAAAGTTATATCTTTTTCTTAATATTAGACGTTAACGGCCGCTCATGCTTAGCACATGGCAGACAATCCGTCAACGTCAATAATTCGAGTTATCTCCCCTTTTCGAGTCCTCGAGTCCTTGAAAATGGACTCGAGTAAACCCGACTCGTCCTCGAGTACTCGAGTACCCGTGGAAGCCCTATCGCCATTATGTTCACATATATCATGGTGATGACGAGACAGAAGAGTTATTGCGCTGTGAAGCCAAATCGATTAACCTTCGCCATAGGGGTCGAGAGAAATGTGTCCCTGGACAATGACATGTCCGGTCTGAAGCCACACACTGCGACGGGACACACACCGAAGTAGAAATCTTTGACCATCTATCACCGGTGCCAGTGTGATATGATTTCATATTGATTTCTCCCTGGGGACGCGTGACCCTGACTTGGCTATATGTCTCCTGGAAGTGATTCAGGAGGTGGTTGTCAGACGTTTTCAGAGAGAACATAGGGCGATATTTACAAACGGCATGACACCAAGTGATGCCTGTACGATTTATCTATTTTTATGCGACCTTCGACAAACTGAAGGTGACCCTCTCTACCTCAGAGCGCCTTTTCTACATGTTATCCTCAGTCGCTGTAGACGATATTTAGAGAATAACCAACGAGGTACGAGTGATTACGGGAAATATGCCCGAGTTGAAATAATGTTCACAGTGCCGAGCCTCGCCAGAGTCACTGAACATTATTTTAACGAGGGCATATTTCCCGTAATCACTCGTACCGAGTTGGTTATTCTATTTATTACCCATAATGTAATTTAAAAAGAAGAACCAAGAAATTAAAACCACCCGGAGACAGGACTTGTGACCTCAAACAGCTGATTCGTATTCATGCGCGTATTAAACCTAACTTCGCCAGCGGTAATAACATAACTACGCTATGGAAAATAGTACATCATAAAATCGCTTTAAAATACAACAAAAATATTATGTCTGGAATAATTAATTAACATTTGTTAATATGATAAAAATGATATAATAAAATATATCATTGAGCTTAATAACAGCTAAACATTTATTTGATCAAGTCAGTGCGACGGAACATCGTTCATTCACGACTGACGTGTTTTCTAGTGACGGGTGACGGTGTAGTGTTGAAACACACTCTGGCAAATACCTGTCAATTTTGGGAAAGTCAACGGTTAAAAGTTGGGAAATCTAAAAGACAACCATCCCACGAATACATATAGAAAACAGTTTTCTGTCAAGAAACTCAACAAGTTTGAATATTAAACAACATTTTGTTCTGTGGAAGGCGTGTTACACTCACGTCACAGTAGAGTACAGCAGTTCCAAGAAGGATAACTCTAGTCGGAATCCGAGTCTATGAAATGTGTAAATCTCCGCATCGGATACTGGGACAAACCTCTCGGATTGATTAGGAATGCATGGATATAAAAAGTCATCTTGAAGAAGACCATTTTGCACTGATTCCGGTAAGAAAGGAGCTGTTTTCTGGTTCGGTGGCATGGACGCCGTGTCCGACTCACTTGTTACACTTTCAGATAACATCTTTAGTCGGTATCTTGCTTTTTCTATTTCCCCGAATTCAGTTTTAACAACAAACAGGTTTTGGGAATTCAAGGGCTGTAAAATTCTTATCACTCTTCCTATTTGGTCACCGTCAACCTTAACTAGATCAGTGACCTTGATCGGGGTTTAGTCTAATGGCGGCATGTTTGTTTACAAACAATGCAAACGATTGTGTTTTTTGTTTTTTTAAAAGATTATATCATTTAAAAAGACTACTATTCATAACGCAATTTTATTGCAATGTAATAACGTCTAATAAAAAGATTATTCATATTCTTTAACTTTTATGTTTTCTTTTTTAAATCTCGGAATGTGTAAGTACAGCACGTTCTAATTATATTATCAATGAAACGGTAAAAGTTGTCAATGAACTTGGATCATGAAAAGTAGTTCCGTCAACCAATCATATTTCTTCTCTGCTTAGCTGACCAATCGCCGTTGAGAATCACCGAAAAGCACATGTGCGATTATCACAAAACTAATCACCTGTGTATCCTAGCCCGTATGGGTAATAAACGTTGTAAACTGGTCTTCAGGATACAGAGAATCCATTAGCACAGTTGGACCCACTATATTGATGAATGAGGTAGAGTTCTGGGATTTCATTTAAAACTGTTCTGAAACCTGAAAAGGATGCAGAGAATCATTGCTACTCGACAGAATAAATAATTAATCCATGTGGCCAGAATGATAAAACATGATGGCAATTCTATATCGACATTCAAGCCTCGGTACCCTCTGTCTCAACAGCTTATGGTTCTTGGAGACTATTTACTCTCACTTTCAGCGTCACGTTCCTTAGAGAGGAAGAGTTATATATCACATTTCCTGTTGTGTTCACTGCAAAGGTTGTCAACCCCGGAATGATCACGGGGCGTGTGTATATGTATGTGTGCGTGCGTGCGTATGTGCGTATGTGCTGTGTACAAACGTACGTGTACGTGTACCCTGGGAGTTCGCTTTATCCGTAACTGGCAATAAAGTGTCTGGTTCACTGATCATCACCTGTGAGTGTTCTACGCAGACGCAGTCAATATGGAGCGTGGTGTTAGAGGTCGATAGCATGAGGAACGGTCCGTACATAGAGTACAGTATTGATTGAATAAATTTCCTGGCTGTATCCAGGAATAGTCGCTATTTTACAACTTGCATGCACTGGTTAAGTCAAACACATTGGTGACAGTTCGAATCTCCCTGATTGTTTACCCGCGTCGTTTGTCTGGATGTCACCAATGATTACCCACAGTACCTCGGGATTTCCTCCCACAGGTTTACACATCATGATGTTGTGTTGGAGTGGACGTACTCTCTCAGTATTGTTATTAAAATCCACCAGCGTGAAGCATTGACGTTCTGCATATCATATGTACTGTTAATTTAAGGGAAATCATCGCGAGTCATCAAGGTTATCTAGCCAAGTTACAACCCTATCCACAACAAGTAAGGAATGATACTAAAAGTAAAGCCTCATTTTGGGATTATGCAGCTCTTAGAATGAACGCTTGATGACTACCTTTAATTCATGGGAAAGTACGTTATTCTCAGGGCATGCGCTAGTAAATGTTATCAGCATTCTGGCTTTTTGTCAGGCATCATGTCAAACAATACGTACTACCAAACACAAACAAATGTCAGAAGAAAACGAACAACTTCGTAAAAATGCATTCCATTTATAAGTAACATTGTATAGAATCATCGGGTGAGAGTTATTTCCAAACTAAAAATGTGATAAAGGAACGACGAAAACAAACCTCTTCGATAATAACGTAAATAATAAACAAAACTTGCAACTCCTTTAACTCTGAACGGAATGCGTCAGGGGAAGTAACTCTCACTCTAAGATTTACACACTGGAAGACATTGCACTTCCCACCACCGAAATTAGTGATCACAGACAAAGTTGAACATTAAATTAGATTAGGTTACCGTTCACACACAATCGTCTAGTAATCTGATTTTCTATTACAGTTTTGTACCCGCTCAGAAGGGATGCTAATTGGTTCCCCCCAGCCTCAGTTATCGATCTGAGTGTTGTCCCTGTGTCCCCCCAGCCTCAGTTATCGATCTGAGTGTTGTCCTTGTGTTCACCATTATCGTCGCCTTGCACACACAGCAATCTATCTGCTGACGGCACTCACGCTCCCCCGTCGTCTTGCGCTCTCCCATATTTCATCCTGTTCTGACAAAGTCTTTGATAAATGTAAATGATTATAAACACCAGGGACCATCGTTGCAGACGTCTTACGAGCCCTCGACGTTGTCAGTATGTGCTTAAAGGCAAAGCTGTTTGTGGTATCTTAAACTCGTCAGCGATATGCACAGAAGGTACTTCGGTGTCGTCATCACTACCGTCGAAGTTGGACGCCTCGGCAACAGCTTGCGCCTCCTCGCGTTCTTTAGCTTCTTGTGGTGATATCGTCACTTTTAGCACCGTCCCACACAGATTGTCTAACACGTTTGGATGTGGCTTGTGTATGCGCTCAGCGGTGTCTCTGATATTGCTGGTATATGAATCTATGAACTTTGATACGTAGGAAGGTGACCCACGGGGGTCGTGACCTCCTTTTTCAGCTGGAGGGTGCCAAAACTGCGCTTGACCTTCAGGGAGAGGTTTGACCTTGTTGAGCCTCATCTCCTCATGCAACCACGCTGTTAGTTCTTCGGAGAAATATTTCTGGAACGTTTGTTGGATCTTCCTCTTGGACCTCACTAGCTTCATCTTGGAGACTGTGTTTTCGTGGAGGAAGACCTTGATAGCCTTCCATACACCGTGGAAGATTGGGCTGTGGTTGAGGCATATGACCAGACCGAGACGCTCCGGGTAGTGGTTGGCCATTATATGGGTCACGCCGTATCCTAACCTAGGGTTGCATGACTGCATTGTCATCCCTGGAAGGAAGTAAATGTTAACTATTAAAAATCCCATGTCATATACAGCCATAAGCAGAGACAGATACTAGGGCCGCATGATGTGATAAACAATATGATTATATTTGAAATGGATACGTAGGCCCATTCTCTGGACCCAAAATTATTTTTGGCGTCAATTTTCGGACTCTTAATTATCTCTTAGATAAGCATGCTACTTTCATTCATGTAACTTCAGCACTCAAATTTAAAACCGATTTAGTTCATGACATGAATGTGTAAACTTTAGGGTCTTAAATACTGTGTGAGAAAACCTGTTCCCATTTCAAGTGGTAGCACAATACATTGAACAAAGGCAAAAACTCTATAATAGCTACTACAAGAGGAAAGAAATAGAAAATGAACAAGACGATCGGAACAATGAGCCAACAATTATGAATGACTATTCCAAGTTACCTGTACAATCAATGATAAACACCCAGGTGGATATCCCAGGCTGCATCGTCAACTTAGCGTTCTCTATGAGGTAGGTCACGTGACTGACGGAGTCCTCCACTGTGTTCCGGTGAGTTGAAGCCTGGGAAAAGCTTGAGTAGATAACAGGACGGCCCATCTCATCATGACCGATCTGGCGCTGGAACCACACAGGAAGTACGGTCAACGAACATAACGAGATAATAACAATATAATGTTGTCAAAGATTGTTATTTGCATCGTGGTTCCCCTAAACCCTCCTGTCCCTGATCCCTGCCTCGACACCCTGATCTCCCCCTCTTCCCATTTTCTTTGCTTCTTTATCAGAAAAAAACAACAGCATGTTTAAACCTGAATTCGAGGCACGGGTGGCCCATTCGTGTGGGCAGTCTTCCTTCACTCTGCACAGTTGTGCCCCTTGGGTGTGCCAGAACACTACGCCTGATTCGCCCTGTCTATATTCCTGGATTTGTCAGTAACATACCCAGAGATGTTACAAGCAAGGTAGTAATTATAAACCCCTGTTTTTGCTATTGTGTGTGTCAAACTGTCCAATGTTGTGCATTAATGTCAGACGAAAACCCTTTATGTCAGCCTCTCGTGATTTCAGATAATGACACTTTAGGAAACTACATTATTCATTATCATATTTGTTGTATGGTTACAATCTCCTGCAATATCTCAAAATGTAAGGTTACATCCAAAATATCTATTTGTTTCAATGTTTCCAAAGTGCATCGAGATGCCCCTTTGTCTGTTTGATATATTCAACAAACATCACTACTAATCATAAGGACATCCCGAGCGAACACAAAATCCCCAGACTCATCACAAAAATATTGGCACTAATTTGAAGGGAATGGAGTATTGGACAGATTGGTAGTTCTAGGAGACTGACCATGGAATGGAAGCCAGGCCTGTCATGGCACCAGCGACAGTTGAGGTGCAGAGGGCGGTTCTGTCTTCGGTACTCCACTGTCTCCTTCAGCAGGCTCTCAGCATCATCCAGGCTCCAGTCACGTGACTTCAAGTAGCGCGCGATTCTGCAAAACCATTTAAAAATACTGTAATCTAAATATATTTTAACATGTTATTAGGCTCATATGCTTTCCGACTACAGATGTTCGAGTTCTCGCGGCGACTTTCTACATGTGAGTGAGTGTGTTTTCAAGGATAAAACGAATCCATAATGAAAACTGCATGCAGAATTCTTGATAGTTATTATTGGACCGGTCAGCGGTGCATTAAAGACGCTGTACTCAATCAACATATGAACTGGGTCGAGAATAAACACCACATTCTGTCATAAACTGGTAAAACACTGGAATCATTTGATCGAGACTGCATTTACAGACAACAGTCAAGGTTACGAGTACAACCTGGTATAGCCTGGCAAACAAACAACCTGGTATAGCCTGGCAAACAAACAACCTGGTATAGCCTGGCAAACAAACATATTTTTGGAATGAAACCTGGATGCGTGACGGGTGCTGCCGATACAACAGGATGTGTTGACCATTCCCTTGACGCCTTGTATCCGTGATCTATTTGTACCATGGGCATCACTATTTACCTTTTACGTCCTATGTAGTCTGTGTTGGTATGTATACGGGGCTTTATTCTTTAGCGTTAACCTTTGGAATTTGAAGCGAAAGCTGAATAATCAATACTAACATATGCAGCACAATTATGGCCAGTGACAGATGAAATTAATGGTTCAAATATGGTGGATTTCATGAATCAAATTACATCTGGCTATGCAGACCAGCCCCCGACAGGTGTCTGTCAAGCCGAGTATTGATTGTAGATGGGGATGTTGACTTCACTGATGGCCCCAAACGTCAGACAACAGATGGTGGTGGTCGAATACCAAACCAGTCGCCTCACTTTCTCTTCTTCTAGACCTCATTCCTCTCGGAGTCTTCTAATACCACTTCTTCCGCTATTTGATGCCTCATCTATCCCTGTACCTACTTCCCCTCCCTTTAAGTGGGCGGTGGGGTAGCCTTATGGTTAAAGCGTTCGCTCGCCACGATGAAGATCGTGTTCCCCACATGGATACAATGAAGCCCATTTCTGGTGTCCCCCGCCGTAAAATTGCTGGAATATTACTAAAAGCGGCGTAAAACTAAACTACCTCCCTCACTTTCTTTAACTGCCAATCTTTCTATCACCTTCAACGCTATCGCCTCCATGTATTCGTCATGCATCCACTTGGGATGCTGCTGTTTTGTCAGTTATACACTGCAGTAGATGTCATGTATTCGTCATGCCTCCACTTGGGATGCTGCTCTTTTGTCAGTTATACACTGCAGTAGATGTCATGCATTCGACATGCCTCCACATACGTACTTGTCTCCTCCATAGATCTCATAGTATACCTCCCCATCCACTGGGGCCCCACCTTTACCTGTTCCTCTACCCACCTCTGCGGCCGTTCCTCCCTCTAATTCCGTTGCATCCATATACCTTATCAAATAGTAGATGTGTGTATTGGTAACATGTTGACAGGTGTTAAACGGTCATAGTGGTGTTTGATGTACAACTTCATCAAACAATAGATATGTGTATGGGTATGACAGTATACATCAAGTACTGACCTACTACCACACGTATGAACATCGACACCGCTTCACAATCATAACATCTGCATGAATTTAATTAAATACCGACATCAAGGATTAAAAGTTGACAATGCCCCTATGTATCTGTTGCAATATATAGTGATACATATACCAGTATGAGAAACGTGCTTAACAATGATTTTCTCCAAAACATTTAAACGTTATCCCATCGAGAGCACGATCTCTTCTGATCTCGTGCAGTTGGACAAGTAAGTGTTTTGTTAAAGTCTGTAGACAATATTTTTCTTGCATACATTGAGTGGTAGTTGGATGTTTTTCAGGATTTGACAAACGGAACTGACAGTCACGTGTATGCAGTCTCTATAATCATAATTCATCTTCTGAAAGGTGCACGTCAATAGTGATCAAAACATGTGATAACCGAAACCGATCTATTTGACGGGTTAGATGTTGCGCAGTTTCCATTTCAAAAGATTGAATACAATGTTGAAAACCGCTTTGGTCTGAACTCATTGTTTCAATCCTGAAAGCTCTGGTTGTCAGATTCAAGCAAAATATTTATCGACCAAAGCTCAAAGCGACTGGTTTTAATCTTAAATCTATCAAATCCCACGACCCAGAGATAAGTATTGCCGAGACACGCCGTGATGCCTTCAGACATACTTAGAGCAAAGGAAGTCTTCCCTGATCCCGAAACTAATCAAGACACTGAGTGGAGGAGAGAAAGAGAAACTCAAACGGTACTCGCGCGGACCTCGGAGGAGACAACATCTGTTGATCCAATCAGTTGTCGGTATTAGGTGACGTGCAAGATTAAAGATTAGTTTTGAATGACGTGGTCTACACAAACTGAACTATTTGCACCAAATAATATATGGAAATAAATGGTAATCAGTAGTGTTACACATGTCTGTTCGAACATGAATATACATAGGAACATATCTGCTATGACGACAAAACAAAACATCCTGAATTTAGGATTATTTAGCCCATGTCATTGGTGTCTATAAGCATTGAGTGTGCCATATATTTTAGAATGGACAAAATACATTTCATTTTAGTTCTTTAATAGAATCCCTTGAGAAGACATTTTGTTCCTTAACATCAATCAAATAACACGTCCGTCTAACATTAGCACGGTGGGACTATGAATTCTTTAATGCAATTTGAATTTAATGTGGAAAATAATTTTCCGTTAATAAAGCAAAAGGTTTCACCAAATAAGACGGTTTCCATATACTGCTCTATAGTTAACTATTTCGGTGGATGTGTAATCACAAGCACATCGTTAGTCATTTCCCCCAAAGCTCCCGTTGATCGTGAAATTAAAGGTATGGGCATCCTAGTAGATACAGGTGATAATTACTGGAGTCTGGCTGTATCCTTCGTCCAAGTCGTCAGTGAATAACGAGTCTGTTATTACGAATTATCATTCTGGCTAACCGAGTGGATGACTCGTGGATGAACTGATGGTCTGTTTAAAGCTAGCATGAGATTTGTCGTGAGATTTGGTCAGTCTCGTAGACAACTACATGACTGCTCAGTTTGCGTGAAATCTCATTAGAGATGTAAGAATCGGACGTGTGTATGAATATTGTAATTTATGTAATAAGATGTTCCACAGTGTTTTGTTAACGACCAATCCGTGTGCTTTTCCGCACACAAACAGAAGTGACTATGTATTTATGCTATTGACGATAAACTGAGAATGTTCAGACAAATACAGAAGACTGCACGAAACAAGGAATGATACACTGAGACGAGACCTCACCTGTTAGCTGTAATAATAATTGTGCCTTGTAAATATGAAAGCTTTTGAGGCACTATAGTATTTCTATTGTAAGGGTGGAAAATGAAAGCATGAGAACATATTTTTTCATAGATTTGTGGTTATTGGTGTACCAAAAACCCAAATATGGACAGATGTTGCAAGAAATCAATTTTTCATGCAGAAGGCGTATCAGACACCATAAATCCATATCTACCGTCATACCGTAGTCATTCATAAAACTGACAGACTAAATGACGTTAAGAACATAGACAAAACATACAGCCTCGTGTAACATTGCTGTAACATTGCAACAACCTTCACTCTTAAACGCCATCGCCACTGAAAATACAATCTCGAATATCCACAAAACAGATTTCATTGGACGTAAAAGGCAAAATAGCGGCGACATTTGTATGCATTGATAACTGAAAATCATGTTTTCGCAAAAAGAACTTACCAATAAAGAATGTAACTTTATCGTAAAATTAACGGTATTGTGAGTTTGTATGGTCTATGGTCTAACGTGTTTACTGGATACAAAACCGTGCCTAATCTACTTTCAATCTATTTAATATTTTATACTTGATATGTTATGTCTTGATGTGCTGCTTTGGAAACATTTTAACATCAGTAACAAAGCACAACCACAAATACATGTGTGGAAATGTTTTCATTTAAGAGCTTGCATAGCCGACTGTTTCAATATTCGAAATATTCCTCGTGAAATACAAGAGCATGCAGCTACACGATGGAACATGATTAGAATACTAAGAACTGTAATTAAGTTGGCATACCACAGGGTGAACTTACGTCTCTGAATCAGTATGGAATTCTGGTTCATCAGTTAGAGGTTCTACACTCTGCATCCGGGTCTTCAGCTGAGTGATAAGATTATCCTTGTCCGCCATTTTGGATGTCTGACGGCAACGACCTTCACCGCTGTAATCCGAGACTTTGTTAATGGCGCGGATGTCTGTAAGACAAGGCAACATGTCTTTATAAACAACTCGATACTGATGATTTATGTAACACTTCGGAAGAAAAACTTCAGTGAAAGTATCACCACTCAAGAACGGTCATATAGACGTTATCAAATTTATGGACAATCGTTATTTCCATCTGCGGGCCATATTTATGTTCATGACCCGATTTTGGATTAAAGTAGTTCCAAGCTAAAAGCATATGGAGACACCACTGTTGTTTATCATCTGCTGCAGGATGTATGTCGAACTGTTTTCAAACCAAACATTACATCTCCAGCTGTGGCTCCAGGCGGACAAGTCGATGTTAAATTTTAAACTATATTCCGATGGCGTGTGAGAAAGTCCGCAGCTGATGCAGACTGAATTGGTGATAATCCTTGTCCAACATGGACGCCACCCTCCACGTGGCAGGGTAAGGGTGTGTGTGTGTGTGTGTGTGTGTGTGTGTGTGTGTGTGTGTGTGTGTGTGTGTGTGTGTGTGTGTGTGTGTGTGTGTGTGTGTGTGTGTGTGTGTGTGTGTGTGTGTGTGTGTGTGTGTTTTTGTTTGTTTGTTTGTGTGTGTGTGTGTGTGTGTGTGTTGATTTGGATGGGCGTTAACCCATTCTATATTGTTAATATTGTTACCAATTGTGATATTTCTAAACAATTACCCCAACAATAAGGGTGTTTTCGGAGGGCTATTACATAGGGGTGATATGGTGACAAGCCACACTTATGAGTGCAACATGTCGGATAGGTAGGTGTTGTTTGTGTCCCAGCACTTCGTGGTTGAAGCCAGGAATATGTGATGGAGAAAATATCAACTGGTGGCCACGGGGTAGCTCTGGGCTCTGTTTCATAGATTGACGTTATCATCCCGACATGCGGGGTAAAGTAACACCGATGTCTCGTTCAGTCCTGGCTAAGTCGGCACATGGCTGAAGGTCTTAGAAGGTGGAGGCGTTGATGAAACAAATCAAGATTTCACGTACCATGAAGACCTAATGATTCAGGTACACAGCTGATAATGATTTTATTCTAAATCCATTTCACGTTGTAACCATGGCAACGTCTAATTTTGCATCGATATAATGTCACATCCCCTGTTACAGTATTCGCACCCACTCCAGACACCCTGTAGTAACCCAGCACATTCCAGACACCCGGTAGTAACCCAGCACATTCCAGACACCCGCCCAGCACATTCCAGACACCCGGTAGTAACCCAGCACATTCCAGACACCCGGTAGTAACCCAGCACACTCCAGATACCAGTAGTAACCCAGCACACTCCAGACACCAGGTAGTAACCCAGCACATTCCTGACACCCGGTAGTAACCCAGCACATTCCAGACACCCGCCCGGCACATTCCAGACACCCGGTAGTAACCCAGCACATTCCAGACACCCGGTAGTAACCCAGCACATTCCAGACACCCGGTAGTAACCCAGCACATTCCAGACACCCGGTAGTAACCCAGCACATTCCAGACACCCGGTAGTAACCCAGCACATTCCAGACACCCGGTAGTAATCCAGCACATTCCAGACACCCGGTAGTAACCAAGCACATTCCAGACACCCGCACAGCACATTCCAGACACCCGGTAGTAACCCAGCACACTCCAGACATCCGGTAGTAACCCAGCACATTCCAGACACCCGGTAGTAACCCAGCACATTCCAGACACCCGGTAGTAACCCAGCACACTCCAGACACCCGGTAGTAACCCAGCACATTCCAGACACCCGGTAGGAACCCAGCACACTCCAGACATCCGGTAGTAACCCAGCACATTCCAGACACCCGCCCAGCACATTCCAGACACCCGGTAGTAACCCAGCACACTCCAGACATCCGGTAGTAACCCAGCACATTCCAGACACCCGGTAGTAACCCAGCACATTCCAGACACCAGGTAGTAACCCAGCACATTCCAGACACCCGGTAGTAACCCAGCACATTCCAGACACCAGGTAGTAACCCAGCACATTCCAGACACCCGGTAGTAACCCAGCACACTCCAGACACCCGGTAGTAACCCAGCACACTCCAGACACCCGGTAGTAACCCAGCACATTCCAGACACCCGGTAGTAACCCAGCACACTCCAGACACCCGGTAGTAACCCAGCACATTCCAGACACCCGGTAGGAACCCAGCACACTCCAGACACCCGGTAGTAACCCAGCACATTCCAGACACCCGCCCAGCACATTCCAGACACCCGGTAGTAACCCAGCACACTCCAGACATCCGGTAGTAGCCCAGCACATTCCAGACACCCGGTAGTAACCCAGCACATTCCAGACACCAGGTAGTAACCCAGCACATTCCAGACACCCGGTAGTAACCCAGCACACTCCAGACACCCGGTAGTAACCCAGCACACTCCAGACACCCGGGAGTAACCCAGCACATTCCAGACACCCGGTAGTAACCCAGCACACTCCAGACACCAGATAGTAACCCAGCGAACTCCAGACACCCGGTAGTAACCCAGCACATTCCAGACACCAGGTAGTAACCCAGCGAATTCCAGACACCCTGTAGTAACCCAGCACATTCCAGACACCCGGTAGTAACCCAGCACATTCCAGACACCCGGTAGTAACCCAGCACATTCCTGACACCCGGTAGTAACCCAGCACATTCCAGACACCCGGTAGTAACCCAGCACACTCCAGACACCCGATAGTAACCCAGCACATTCCAGACATCCGGTAGTAACCCAGCACACTCCAGACACCCGGTAGTAACCCAGCACATTCCAGACACCCGGTAGTAACTCAGCACATTCCAGACACCCGGTAGTAACCCAGCACATTCCAGACACCCGGTAGGAACCCAGCACACTCCAGACATCCGGTAGTAGCCCAGCACATTCCAGACACCCGGTAGTAACCCAGCACATTCCAGACACCAGGTAGTAACCCAGCACATTCCAGACACCCGGTAGTAACCCAGCACACTCCAGACACCCGGTAGTAACCCAGCACACTCCAGACACCCGGGAGTAACCCAGCACATTCAGACACCCGGTAGTAACCCAGCACACTCCAGACACCAGATAGTAACCCAGCGAACTCCAGACACCCGGTAGTAACCCAGCACATTCCAGACACCGGGTAGTAACCCAGCGAATTCCAGACACCCTGTAGTAACCCAGCACATTCCAGACACCCGGTAGTAACCCAGCACATTCCAGACACCCGGTAGTAACCCAGCACATTCCTGACACCCGGTAGTAACCCAGCACATTCCAGACACCCGGTAGTAACCCAGCACACTCCAGACACCCGATAGTAACCCAGCACATTCCAGACATCCGGTAGTAACCCAGCACACTCCAGACACCCGGTAGTAACCCAGCACATTCCAGACACCCGGTAGTAACTCAGCACATTCCAGACACCCGGTAGTAACCCAGCACATTCCAGACACCTGAGAGAGTAACCCAGCACACTCCAGACACCCGCCCAGCACATTCCAGACACCCGGTAGTAACCAAGCACACTCCAGACACCCGGTAGTAACCCAGCACACTCCAGACACCCGGTAGTAACCCAGCACATTCCAGACACCCGGTAGTAACCAAGCACAGTCCAGACACCCGGTAGTAACCCAGCACACTCCAGACACCCTGTAGTAACCCAGCACACTCCAGACACCCGGTAGTAACCCAGCACATTCCAGACACCCGGTAGTAACCTAGCACACCCCAGACACCCGGTAGTAACGCAGCACATTCCAGACACCCGGTAGTAACCAGCACATTCCAGACATCCGGTAGTAACCCAGCACATTCCAGACATCCGGTAGTAACCCAGCACACTCCAGACATCCGGTAGTAACCCAGCACATTCCAGACACCCGGGAGTAACCCAGCACATTCCAGACACCCGGTAGTAACCCAGCACATTCCAGACACCTGGTAGTAACCCAGCACCTCCAGACACCAGGAGTAACCCAGCACATTCAGACACCCGGTAGTAACCCAGCACATTCCAGACACCCGGTAGTAACCAAGCACATTCCAGACACCCGGTAGTAACCCAGCACACTCCAGACACCCGGTAGTAACCCAGCACACTCCAGACACCCTGTAGTAACCCAGCACACTCCAGACACCAGATAGTAACCCAGCACACTCCAGACACCAGATAGTAACCCAGCACACTCCAGACACCCGGTAGTAACCCAGCACACTCCAGACAGCAGATAGTAACCCAGCGAACTCCAGACACCCGGTAGTAACCCAGCACATTCCAGACATCCGGTAGTAACCCAGCACATCAGACACCGGTAGTAACCCAGCACACTCCAGACACCCGGTAGTAACCCAGCACATTCCAGACATCCGGTAGTAACCCAGCACATTCCAGACATCCGGTAGTAACCCAGCACATTCCAGACATCCGGTAGTAACCCAGCACACTCCAGACATCCGGTAGTAACCCAGCACATTCCAGACACCCGGTAGTAACCCAGCACATTCCAGACACCCGGTAGTAACCCAGCACATTAGCACTGTACGGAGAGTCAGTTACCTGCTCCTGTCTCCTATTACATACTGAATATAGGATGTCACTCACAAAATGACCACACTCGATTATCCGGTGAAATAGATTCGGTAGTAATCGATAAAACAGCGCGATTTCCATAAAATGTCGTTCCTTCCTGTTATGAAACTGTAGAGGTAACTACATCAGCAACTGTATATCGACCGCTGCATCGACTACCAGGTGAGAGTTGGTCACAGTGACTAGTGCCAGCTGGTGTCGGATCGTTGACAGAGTGAATACGTCATGTGTTGCTGCAACCACGAACCGCGTGGCCGTGTCCACGTGCTGGAGATGTTACAATGGTGTCTTTTCAATTTTCCTGTAACTTACGTGAAAGTATGTCAGTCTAGTCGTCATCGATCGTTAATAAAAATTCATGTATGTGATAAAATGTATGAGAAGGTCAGATGAATATTATCCCCCTACACACAACACATATAGCGC